TGATCCATGACTAGGGCTCCTGGGTGCTACAGTAATACAAATAATAATACATTCTGGTGAAATTTTGCACTCTGGTGGCACCCAGAGTGCCTTTTAGAGTGTGACACATTTAAAATAGACTGGGAAGGTTAGAAAATAATGCTGAGAATGTGCATAAGATTCAGGATGATCCAGGTTAAGTTGGCCTACTCAGCACTATTCCTGAATATGTACACTTAAAGCAAAGGATGGTTAAAGACCTAAGTGAAATTATTTTGGTGGTCTTGATACAGTTCAAAATGGGTAAGCTGTACATCACAAAAAACACCATCCTAACTGGAATCAACTGGCAACCTTGTTAGCAGAAAATTGTACTGTTGGTAACTGAATGACTAGGACAGCACTGAAGAACCAAAAATGCAGCACATTCACAAGAGCAGTGCTGTTTAGTCAGTTAGCACAACAACCACACTTTTGCTGGTACTTCACCATTTCAGATGCAGTGTTTCTGGATAACTATTCCACAGATCCCAAAATAGCTTCCTGAAGCAGTGGCTTCTGGAAGATTTTGAAAGGCTTTCTAAAAGTCAGATTTCAAAAACCTCCTGGGGAAACAACATGATGTTGAGGTCCCTGGAGGGTGCGGCTTCAAGCATCCTTGACCCCTGTGCTGTAGAGTTCAGAAGGTATAATAGGCACTTAAGTAGTGGACTGTGGGATAATTAATAGGAAGACCATTTTCACGGTTAAGATAATTATGCCAGAGATTCTATACAAACAGCATTACACTGGTGGATTTGGCATGAGAGACAACCACTTCTTGGTCAGTCCAACTCAAAGCTAGTCTAATTCAAAAGGTGGAGCAAGCACTGTGCACTACTGGGAATACATGTGCAAATACAAGACATATTACAGGCATATTAGGGGTGATTAACACGACAAATTTCTCCAGGACAGACATGGCCAACAAGCACAGTGAATCATTCCTAGAGGGACCACCTCTAGAGTTAAAAAGCAGAGCGAGATTGGTGGGACAGGGTGGGAAACTTACACTGCCATGGCATGGTGCACCTGTCCTGGGAAGAGGATTGTTTCCGGAACTGTCAGCTGGCCAATAAATTCAAAGATATTTTTTAAATGTACTCAATCAATAAGTCAGTAGAGAAAATATTGGGAGAAAGGAGGTTGTAAATCTTTTGTGAAGACTGGAAATAAGGGTGAACGGGCTGCAGCTCCTGTAGTAATTGGCTATAGCATTATCTGCTGAAGGGCATGAAAGTTATGAATTTGAGGGTTCTTGGTCAGCCCCTACCTACTCATACGGAAGCATGCCAGGATGAAACGGCTTTCCCTAGGTCTGGCCTGAATACGAAGAGGCTGAGCTGAAGGAGGAAATGAGACAGACTGAGTAAGAAGACTGGTACTGGCTTGGTAGAAAGACTGGAACTGGGAGCTAGGGAGAAAAGACTGAAAGTAGCTACAAAAAGAACAGGAGTACTTGTGGCACCTTAGAGACTAACAAATTTATTAGAGCATAAGCTTTCGTGGACTACAGCCCACTTC